AACTTTTTACTTACATTGATGGTTCCATGTAACTTTTAACTTTTTGCTTACAATGATGGTTCCATGTAACTTTTAACTTTTTACTTACATTGATGGTTCCATGTAACTTTTAACTTTTTGCTTACAATGATGGTTCCATGTAACTTTTAACTTTTTACTTACATTGATGGTTCCATGTAACTTTTAACTTTTTGCTTACATTGATGGTTCCATGTAACTTTAAACTTTTTATTTTCTTTTAAAACTCACTAGAAAACCTATAAAGATGAAGGACCATATTAATATTTTCTAAACCAAATTAAAATCAATATCTCGCAAAATAAAAACTTTAATTTAAGCGAGTTTGATCTCAGCGACAAGAATAATTCTACAAGGCTGGTATGGAAGAAAAGAGGTAAACATCACATTTTCAAATTCAATAAAGTAGCTCCTAAAAAGTACGAACTAATAAAGTTACTGATTTAAAAGTTATTGTTATTGTTATTGTTATCGTTGTACTAAAACATTTCTGAAAATATTCAGGCCACATGCTAAAACCATAAATAAGTCACAAATTCCAAAACGGGAAGTGACATTTTATGACAAAAAGAAATACGGAAGGGGACAATGAGCCCATTATAGTCTGCGTTACCACTCTAATTAAGGATGTCCAGTTCCTGAAGATCCACCGTTTGGAAGGTGGAACTGTCTGAAAAACATTAAACAAGGTTTAAACATTTTTTTCTTTTTTTATTTTATAAACGCAATTTCAAATGACCTTCCACCAAGGAGTATGAAATAGAAGGGAGATACAACTGACGCGGCCCACCCTACCGTATGATTATGCAAGGTTTGCATACCGGTACTCATTTTGTATAAGAAATATTCAGAATAGGTTATTGTATACGCCGTAATTGTACATCAGACAAATATTTCTTGTTCAAATAAAGTACCGTCTTGCAAAGCATGTATAATCATATGGTATAGGGCGGGCCGCGACAGTTATATCTCCCTTCTATTTTATACTCCTTGCCTACTACGGAAAAAGCGAAATGTTTGATATTTGGATTTCAAAATTTGAATTGTAAAGTGTTTAACAATTAAAAGAAATTCTTTAGATAAATAAGGAAAAGAGATTCTGTAGATAAATAAGGAAAAGAGATTCTGTAGATAAATAAGGAAAAGAGATTCTGTAGATAAATAAGAAAAAGAGATTCTGTAGATA